ATTGTTTGATTGCGTTTTCGTTCAAGTTTTTATTTTTTATTGCCTTTTAAGAGATATTTTTTTTAAGTAGGTGAATAAGTAAAGTCGAGTCAGCCATCAAAAATAAGTGATGAGTTCATTTGCAGCTTAAAACATTACTTTTATTACTTTTGTTATTTTTTCTTTAATGGCCAACAATTTAATTTAATTTTCAATTAACATTAAATTCTAAAAGCCAACAAATTCTGTACTTTTTTGCCACTAAAAAGTATTTAATTATTTTTCTTTTTTGGTATTTTTAAATTTATTGTTGAACTCTTTAAGAGCCAAGTTCGGCATTTATAAAAGAATATTTTTAATATCCACAAAATCTGTTTTTAATTGTTAATTTAATTAACTTAATTACTTTTGAATTAAGAACGCTTTCATATAAAAATAATTTAATTAATAAATAACAAATAACAAAAAATGCAAACAAAATTTAATATTTCGTCATTCTAAGAAAATAAATTTCGTGCCTTCATTTAGCAAATCGATCACGTCTATGCTTTGAGCAATTAATTGGCCTTTCAACTGAGTCAGCGTGAACATAGTAAACATTTCTGTATTCGCGATAAAATATGCAAAATTTATTGTTCCTACTTCCTCATAAAACATCACAAACGTACATAAAACGTATGAAATATTGAGTAGTCACTAACTTCCGCTTTGTTTGTCTTCTTTACTTACAGCGCATCCCGGCAAATGCTTCGACAAGATCACACGTCGCGCCATGTTGCCCAACAAGGAGTACAAACCGAAGGGCATTTGCGCTGCCATGACCTGCGATATCAGAACACTGACCATTAATATTGAAACCTGTCCCTACGTGGAGATGCCCGGCTGTGAGGAGCTGCCCGCAGATCCCACATGGTCATTCCCAAAATGCTGTCCGCAATTTAAGTGCACCGACTTCAAGACCGGCAAAGAATTCGTCGTGTCGCTGTAGTGCGTCTTCCGCGGGACCGTCCCAGTGCTGTGTCTTCTGAAAAATCGTGTGCAGCGTAGACCAGCGTATAGCAGCGTAGAATCTTCGTTCGTCACACGCCTGCCCGATGCCTTTAGGCTTTAAGTACAATAAACAAATCGTGATTTTATACTTTGTATTTAATATTGTATGTAATTTAACTTGTTCGTGTGTGTGTGTGTGCCGAGGAGCCAGTGTGTGTGTGCGTGCCATCAACAATTTGTGAAATATCTCAACTCCATTGTTACTTCATTGATAATTTATTAATTTATTTATAAAAATCAACAAAAAATTTGTAAATACTCGTGTAACTTCCCTCATTGTTTCCAGTGAACTCGTTTATTTATAATTGAAACATTCTTAATTTATGTATTTATGTATTTATGTTCATGTATGAAAGTTTGTATCTCGCATTCTCGTATTAAGCAATCGAAAGTAACTCTAAAATCTGTTAAATTATTTATTGAGAAATCTTCTCCTCTTCTTAACTTTGATTTATTCAAATATTATTTATATTTGCGATATTTGCAGACTTAACTTATTTTAAGTTTATGTTTAGTTTTTTATAAATTATAAATTGAAAAAAAAATTGCATAAAAAAGAAAAAAATAAATATAAAACAATAATTAAATAAAATAATTTGGCTTTTATTTATTTAGTAGTCATTAATACGGCTTTTAGTATTAATATATGTTTTTTGTCCTATGACAAGAAGATCCATTTCGAATAGAAAGAGGGATAATACAAAGGCATTATATATTATTAAATTTTTATTTAATATTATTTAATATTTATTATTAAAAATTACTTTTATCTTATGACAAGACATCTATTTCGAATAGAAAAGTAGTCAATAAAATGAATTTTTATTTATATTTAATATTATTTAATTTTTATTATTAGAAATTATCTTTACCCTATGACGAGAAATCCATTTTTAAAAAGGGACAATAAAATGCCTTTAGGCATTAAAAATTTGAAAATTAAATATTATTTATTTTTATTTATTTTATATTAAATAATATTATTTAATTTTTATTATTAGAAATTATCTCTATCCTATGACAAGAAATCTATTTTGAATAGAAAGAGGGATAACACAATAGCTTTTTAGTATCAATAATTTGAAAATTAAATATTATTTAATTTTTATTTATATTTAATATAACTTAATAATTATTGTGAGTAATTATCTTTATCTAATGACAAGAAATCTATTCCAAATAGAATGAAAGGTTTTTACATTTCTAAATTTTTAAAATTTACAATTTTTTCGGATATCGCTGAATATCTATAATCAGTGATCTTTAAAAATATTCCAAAGTATGATATATCTTTTGAAAATGTTTTATACTTACCATTAATAAAAAAAAATAATAATTGCAGAAACAGAAATTTACAAGAAATTTTGAAATTAAATTAAAGAATTAATTTAAATAAATTTAAAAAATTAAAATTTTGAAATAAGGCTATTTTTGTTTATCAACTTATTCTAGCGGGCATATTGTGGTTTCCTAACTGAACTGTGACTGATTAACAAACCCACTATTAGACTGAAATCATTATAATTCAATAACATACTTCCATTTGTTATTATTTAAAAGGCCCTAACCAGCTAACAGATACTTAATTTTGTTAAATATTGTTATGTAGAAATATATATGTAAATATAAATAAATTCTTAAATCATTTTTTAAAACCGCAAGTACACTGACTCTGAGCTTTAAATTTAGCAGGGTATGGTATTTACAATCTCAATTAAATTCCAAGACCGCTGATGGTGGTATTTGACAATACTCGAAACAAGTGGTATGGTCAGCCAAATATTCAATTCATTAAAAAAGTATAAAAAGAGTTTGTGTTGTTGTAGTTCACTATTTTTCGAAACCTGCATATTAAATATATTAGTTTCTATTAAGCAAAATAGTCACTACTGTCATATTGACATTAAAATCAATAACTTTATAATACAATTTACACAAAGAACTTTAAATATTAAGTCCTAGAACTAATAAAAGACAATATGCTCACTTCAAAATGTCCAAAATAAATATAAATATCTTACCTTTTGCAGTAGGGAAGAGGATAAAAATGTATCCCATCTGCTTTGTGTTTGTCCAGTTCATGTACGGTTGCGACTCAATAAGGGCCGTCTTCTCTATAGATCTTGATCAACTTCAAGATTTTCCACTAAACAACATTCTGAGCTTTGCCAAAGGTTCTAGGTGATTTTAAACCCCGATTCTCTCCATTATACTGTAACACAATGAGCCTATAGGTCTAAGTGGATCCCTTTTGGATCGCCGGCATAACCTAACTTAATCTATCTTCTGTCAGCTTATTCTAAATGTTGCTTCAAAATCAGTGTTTGAAAACAGATTGTTTAAAAACACATATAAACCTTGGTCAAACTACATATCAGACTACATATAATCCGTAGACTGTCGATATCTTAAACAGAGATAAACGGAGAGAGAGAGGGTGATGTTTTATTGTATTTTTGGCGGTTTTGGATTGTGTTACTATAATATTAGATTTCATAAACTATAATTGCTCCATGATCCATGTAACATACGGAAGAGACAAATGAAGCAGAGCTAAAACCTTTTGAGAAATTTGGAATAAAATATAGTCACTGGCTTCGATTTCCTTTTAGGAATTTAAAGGATTAAATATATAACATTGGAATTTACTTTCATTTTTAAGAATTTATTGAACTTAGTTTTATTCTAATATACATATTCACAAGAGTACAGAAAATATTTCAATTATTTTCAGATAAATTTCGTTGAGACGAAATTAGTCGATTTCGTCATATGTAAAAATATTTCAAATATTTGGCGTACGCGAAATGCGTTGCTAGCGGCACAAAAATATTAATAAAATAAAAACATAAATTCATAAAATCTTAATGTCTCATGATGACATTTGTTTGCTTTATATGGCTCAGTTAAGATTTTTTTTATTTAGGCACATTACTACACACATTTAAATATTATAAAAATACATGATTTCATTTTGGTACTGCGCTCGGTACTTTTTACACTTGCGAGGAGCCAATATTGACAAATCAATCCCAAAGCCGATTTTGTCGTGTGCCTCATTTTGGACAATTTTATTTTATTTATTTATGTCTTATTTACTTTTTGCATTATTATTCATTATCATTATTATTTGATTTTATCATATTTGCTTACATTTCTAACCACATCGACGGTTAATGTGTTATTTAATTTAGTGATTCACTAAAATAGCTCAGATGCTGGCTTTAAGTAGGAAATTCCAAGAAATTTGATGCCATTCATGTTTATCTCAAATCTTTGGACAAACTCGTTGTCTGACAATAAATTTTGGCAAATTAGTTAAGAAAATACTTTACGTCACTGATATGTAAATCTCTTGCTTTTTTAAGATATTTGAAGCTTAATGCTTGAGCTTCTTTCATCCGAACGCCGCAAATATTTTATGCAAATTGTGAAAGTTATTAAGCTATTTGAGCGATAAATTTCTTAAAATGCTTAAATTATTTTCGTTAAATTTATTTTAAAGGCTCAATCTTTGATTTGATTTAATAAATTTAAAATCTTTGGGATTTTCCCCTCTTAACACCTTGTGACATTTAAAAACAAAAACCTTTAATCAAAATTGTGACATTAGTCCAAACGTTTTGTTTTTTCCAAATTTTAATTAAATAAAGTTCGTGCTGTGTAAAAAATATATAAGAGGAAAATATCTAAATAAATAAAAAATGTGTAGTTTTAATTAATACACTAATCATGGTCTATAAATATTCTATATATACAATATATAGAATATATATAATATATTTAATATATAGAATAGACTACATAGAATTAAATTATTATTTTATAAATATATATATATTTATATATATTCATATATTATTCATATATATAATATATAGAATAGACTATTCATTGAAAAGCTTGTCAAAGGGTCTAATGCTGAAATAATGTTCATTTTAAAAAATTTTACTTTTAATGGGAATTGGATACTGCCAAATATCTATTGGTTTCTTTTTTTGTTAATTTCAGGAATTAATTCTCTTTTTCTATTTGAAATAAATTTCTTGTCATTGGACATACGGTTAATTTTCCGTGTATAATTTTCGAATCGCAAATTTAATAGAAAAAACCCCTTTTTCTATTCAAAACATAGTTCTCGTCACAAGCTAACATAGGTTAGATTTGTTTGAAGTGCCAGCCTTGTAAACGATCTTGTCCTAAAACATAGGGTTAATTATTCGTCTATAATTTCTGAACTGAAAGTGTTAGGAATTAAACTAACTTCTCCATTCGAAATAGAATTCTTGACAAAGAACATAAATTGAAATCAGTAGTATAGATAGGATTATGGCCATAATTGGATATAATAAAAATTGTTTTTTTCGAATTTGTGTTGCAGTTCCTTTAAGTAATATTAATAAGAGTTAAGTAACTATAAAAGTTAAGTTACTAGCTTATTGTCATATTGTTATATAGATTTTGTATGGAAACTGGCAATTGCTGTTATTGCTGTTGAACTACTTACAATAGTCTTACCATAGTATTAGATGATTGTACCTATGTACAAGGAATTATTTTTTGTCGGAGCTTCTTGCAGATGATTGAAAAAATTGAAATAACAGTTTTAATTGAAATAACAGGATTATGTCAAGCGGTGAGGTGGGGTGTAAGGTCCATTAAAAAATATTTTTTATTTGAAGTTTTTTTGCAGTTCACTAAATTAAATTTTATAAAAGTTAGAGGTGAGAGAAATCTATTAGAAAAGTGAAGTGTTTTTGCAGAAGTGGGGAGATATACTAGATAAATTTTTTGTTGTATTTTATTTTTGTAGTTTACTTAATTAATTAAAATAAGATTAAGCAATAATATTATATACACATCAATAATACATAAATATGTATATGATTTTTTTTTAAAGATTTTTTTTTAAAGTAAATTCATTCTTCAAAAAATAAAATTTACACTTTTATCATTTATTTTTTCATAGTTAAGTTTCGCAAGTGCTTTAAAAGTTTTCTTATCGAAATTTTAGTTAATATAAGTAATAGCATATAAAACAAAAGTATATTAGAATTGTATAGTTGTTATTATCTGTAGATTATATTATCTACAGATGGTGTAATCTACTCTCTATAATATATACTCTC